GAGGGTCAGTGCTGAGGGAGCGCCGCACTGTCGGAGGGTCAGTGCTGCGGGAGCGCCGCACTGTCGGAGGGCTAGTTGTGAAACTTTTGCATTTCCCGTTCTCTCATTTTAACCCCCTGCATTGTCTTGCTCTCGGTCTTACAGGCATTCAATCATATCCTTAATATGTCTGTGATCGTTTTGAGATGAATCTGGATTGCCTCACCCGGGGACAGGAGGAATATCAGTGGCGTCGAGGCATCAGTCTCATCGAATGCGTCCTGGAGATGGACTGAGGGGCTTGGCAGAAAGTCTGGGCCCAGTTTCTCTGCAATAAATTCTCTCACTGTGGCAATCAAGCACTCAGGCCTCAGGATCTTTATCTGGAAAATACAGGAGAATATGATGGTCAGAGTCATCGTTTCATAAAGCACGGAAACAGACCCTTCGGTCCAACCAGTCCATGATGACCAGACATCCCAATCTGACCTAGTCCCATTTACCAGCATTTGTCCCATATCCCTCTAAACCCTTTCTATTGTTGTACCCCTCGAGATGCCTTTTAAATGTTGAAAATCATAGAACTTCCTTTGGTAGCTCATTACATAAATGCACCACCCTCTGCGTGAAAAATTTGCCCCTTCGGTCCCTTTCAAATCTTTCCCCTCTCACCTTAAACCTATGCCCTCTAGCTTTGGTCTCCCCTACGCTGGGAAAAAGTCCTTATGCTATCTATGCCCCTCATGATTTTATAGACACCTATAAGGTCACCCCTCAGCCTCCGACGCTCCAGGGAAAATAGCCCCAGTCTATTCAGCCTCTCCCTATAACTCAAACACTCCAGTCCTGGCAACATCCTTGTCAATCTTTTCTGCACTCTCTGAAATTTAACAACATCCTTCCTATAGAAGGTGACCAGAATTGTATGCAGTTTTCTAAAAGTGCCCTCACCAACCTCTGTACAGCCACAACATGACATCCCATCTCCTCTTGTCAATGTTCTGACCAATGAAGGCAAGTGTGCCAAATGCTTTCTTCACTATCCTGTCTATCTGCGACTACACCTTCAAGGAATTATGAACCTGCTCCCCAAGGTCTCTTTGTTCAGCAACACTCCCCAGGGCCTTACAATTAAGTGTATAAGTCCTGCCCTGATCTGCCTTTCCAAAATGCAGCACCTTGCATTTATCTAAATTAAACTCCGTCTGCCCCTCCTCGGCCCATTGGCCCATCTGATCAAGGTCCTGTTGTGTTTTGAGGTAACCTTCTTTACTGTACTCTACACCACCTAGGTAGGTGTCATCTGCAAAGTTACTGATAATACCTCCCGTATTCACATCCAAACCATTCATATAAACGATGAAAGGCAGTGGACCCAGCACCGATCCTTGTGGCACACTGCTGGTCATAGGCCTCCAGTTTGAAAAGTATCCCTCCACCACAACCCTCTGATTCCTCTCACTAAGCCAATTTTGTATCCAATTGGCAAGCTTCGTCCTGGATTGGACAGAGTGGGTCTGAAGTTCTGAAGAAGGGTTGCTGAATTTGAAACATTAACTCTGCTTTCTCTGTACAGATGCTGCCAGACCTGCCGAGGTTCTCCAGCAATTTCTGTCTATGTTCCCTCCATTCCCAGGATCAGCTGAGTGAACCTTCTCTGGATAGCCCCCAATCACAGGATATCTTTCCTTAGATAAGGAGCAGTATTCCAGCTGTGGCCTAATTTGTGCCTTGTATGCTTTTAGCAAAACCATCTCAATCTTACCCTTCCCTTTGAAATAAAGGCCAACATTCCATTCGCCTTCCCTATTACCCACTGAACCTGGACGCTAACTTTTTTTTTATTCATGCACTAGGACTCCTAGATGTCTCTGCGCTATAGCTTTCTGCAGGCTTTCTCCAATTAAATAATATTTAGCTTCTTTATTCTTTCTGTCAAAGTGCATAACCTCACATTTGCCCACATTATATCCCATTTACTAAGCTCTTGCCCAGTCACTTAACCTGTCCATCTGCAGGCTCTGGGTCATCCTCATCACTTGCTTTGCCACTATTTTTGCGTCATCCACTAACTTGGCAATAGTACAAAGCAGTCCAGTTGATTGACACAACATGCACCACCTTCAACATCCACTCCCTCCACCACCGACGCTCAGAAACAGCAGTGTGTACTATCTACAAGATGCACTGCAGAAACTCACCAAAGATCCTCAGACAGCACCTTCTAAACCCACGACCACTTCCATCTAGAAAGACAAGGGCAGCAGATACATGGGAACACCACCCCCTGCAAGTTCCTCTCCAAGCCACTCACCATCCATTTTTTTTAAATGATTCATTCATGGGATGAGGGTGTCGCTGATCAGGCAGCATTTATGGCCCATCCCTAATTGCCCAGAGGCTGTGGTCTGGAGTCATGTGTAGGCCAGACCTGGTGAGGATGGCAGTTTCCTTCCCTAAAGGACATTAGTGAACCAGATGGGGTTTTCCGACAATCGACAATGGATTCACGGTCATCATTAGATTCTTAATTCCAGATATTTTTTGAATTCAAATTACATCATCTGCTGTGGCGGGATACAAACCTGGGTCCCCAAAACATTATCTGGATCCCTGGATTAAGAGCCCAGCAACAATTCTAATGGCCATCACTTCCCCCTTGGAAATATATGGCCCTTCCTTCACTGTCACTGGGTCAAAATCCTGGAATTCCCTCCCTAAGGGCATTGTGGGTCAACCCACAGCAGGAGGACTGCAGCAATTCAAGAAGGCAGCTCATCCCCACCTTCTCAAGGGGCAATGAGGAGGCCAACATGTTCCAGTCAGTGATTACAAGAACAGAGAGAAAGATTGTTTAGATTCTTCTATTGCCTCTGTGCTTATTGCTCACTGTCAGAAAAGCAAAATATTGCAGATTCAGAAATCTGAAATGAGACACTAATTGCTGGAGAAACTTAGCAGGTCTTGCAGGATCAGTGGACAGAGAGACAGAGAGTGAGAGACGGAGATAGCGAGAGAGAGAGAGGCAGACTGAGCAGTTTGAGTTGAATGTGACCTGTCCTCAGGATGGATTGTTCAGTAATTAATATTTTTACGGGTAGTTGTTAAAGACTCTGCAATGAGGATGGATAACTTTCCCGCTCTAACCTTCAGTGATACTTTGTGGCTGGCACTGAGTCACATGTCTCATCAGATTTCAGGGAAAGAACTCACCAAAATGAGACGCTGAAAAGATGTCAGCTGTTCCCAAGGGAAGATCGAGTTCTGCACTTCCATGTGGTAGTCTGACTGATACTGGTCAGAATCTAACTGATTCCTGGATGGGCGCAATCCTATATGGAAAGGGAAAGATGAAGCATCATCCTGAATACTAAGAACAGGCTGTTCAACCCTTTCGCCATTCAATTAATCGGCACCTCAAATGCAGCTAAAAACAAGGGGAGCACTCACCCTCATTCCCGGCACTCACCCCCAGCACTCATCCCCATTCCCGGCACTCACCCCCATTCCCGGCACTCACCCCCATTCCCGGCACTCACTCACATTCCCGGCACTCACCCCCATTACCGGCACTCACCCCCATTCCCGGCACTCACACCCATTCCCGGCACTCACACCCATTCCCGGCACTCACACCCATTTCCAGAACATAGAACATAGAACATAGAACATTACAGCGCAGTACAGGCCCTTCGGCCCTCGATGTTGCGCCGACCTGTGAAACCAATCTGAAGCCCATCTAACCTAAACTATTCCATTATCATCCATGGGAACTCACTCCCATT